ATGTAGGTAATGATTCCTCACCCATATGAATATGTTAACTTTTGTAAGAAAAGAAATGCATCATAAAAAAAATGTCTAAGTTACGAGTGTGTGTCTATATATACACAATGTTATATTATATTGAATCAAATGGGTAATAGAGGATAAGTGGTAGCATCATTTTGGTCCCAAAACATCTTATCTTAAGCATCCATTATTAGATTAGAGTCGTGCAAAAATAAATGTGGTTTTGGATGATGTATGTGGTTTAGTGTCTTTCTAGTGAAACAAGCATCTATTTGATGCCCCTTTTAACACTCTATAGTTCTCTAAATCCAAAATTTAAAAAAGAAGGCTATGTGTTGTTTTAACAAAAATTAAAGTATATTGGGTTAAGGAAAATCACAACATGCAAGCTTGGAGTTTGGAATTATTGCTATGATCAAGGAATAAAGAAGTTGACAACAAATGGACCTTCAAACAGGTGTAAAAAGTCTATTGAGCTCACATCATTGAAACAGCTGTTAGCCAAATTAAGTTGATTTTTAAATCCACACCTGTATGCATCATGAACACAGTGCTTTGATTTGTATTTTTTAAAAAAAGGAAAAGAAAAAGGAAAAAAATTGAAAGAAATTAGTGAATATGAATGTCCCCTCAAGAGAATATTAGGGGTCAAGGTATCTTTTTCCTTCAAAGACAAATATAAAATGAAGTATATATGTAATTACAATGTGGGTAGAAAAAAGAAAGTCAACATCTAATCAAATATTGGCTGACTGAGTCATTCAGTTCTCTTTCTTTTTTCTCATTTTTACATTTTTCCACCTCTATTCTTTATGTTGTGAATGAGAGCTAAGGAAGAATGAAACACTCCCAAGGCAATGAGTCACAAAGAAAACCCCACAACTCTCACAAGTACAAACTGTCTTCATGTGTAAGCTTTATCAACATCATTCATATCATTTTTGTTAGGGCTTAAGTCAGCATCTTATATGTCAAAGAATCTTTCTTCCTCTTCATCTTCTTTTTCATCTTTGTAATTGTCTTTCCAAAAGCTTCAGTCCTCTTTTGTCCATGGCAGGAAGGAATGTGTAGGCTTCTTCTGCAGACTAGTCACTCCCCAATTCCTCCATCAATCTCACTCTTCCTCTTTCTCTGATTTTTATGTGCTTTTCATTCTTTGACTTGGACAGTTCCATGGTTGTAGAGTGACACACAATTCACCCATGGATACCTTGGCAAAATATTGTCTTTCTTTTCTTTTCTTTTCTATCTTCTTGCAAAGGCATTTTCCCACAAACACACACACACACACACATGTATGTATATATATATATATATATATAATCACTCATTCACACAGACAGAAAGGGACTAAGTCTTGGCTTGCGAGAGAGGATTTGATGGGTTTAAGAAGAATGCAAGAGTGGCACCCTTTGTACTAGGATTCCATGCCCTTCCAGCCCTGTGCAAGTTTGCTTCCATTAGTTAAATGGGTGCATGAATCCAGATGGCATGTGCTGATTCTAAAACCAGACCACCAGGTCTCCCAAAGCAGATGCTGACCCTTGCTTGTAATGGGAGCTTGATTTGGCTCTTTTGGAGTGGAATGGGCATTCTCAAGGCTACAGGTATTCATATATATATATATATATATATGAATGAGTGTGTGTGTGCATTCTTACATTTCTTTGCACTGTCCAATTCTTACATTACTTTTCATTGAAAGGTAAATCATAGGGTTGTTAGAACCATACTCCTCTTCTAACCACCATTACTTTGCAATAGGATATAAATATGTATATATATGTATATATATATATATATACAATAACAATCTTGATAAGCAATCAATGTTGCTCCAATTCAAAAACAAGCAACATTTTGGTACAAAGGCAAACAAATAAAGAAGTGTTGGTTTAACAGATTTGTTTGTTGATGGAAATCATATCAAGTTCTTTAATAATCAAGTTTATTTTTAATCACTTATCATGAGATTGGCAAACAACAAGATATATAAACAGAAGAAGAAAACTGTTTCTGATCTTGTGAATGCTTTCTTTTGTGATCTTACTAGTCCTTGGAACTAATGATTTATTCATATTTGTGTATGTGTATGTGCACATGTACACACACACACACACACACACATATATATATATATATATATATATATATAACAAAAAAATGTTTTATTTATTCATTTTTACAGTGTAAAATGATATTTTGTTTATCTGTAACAATTTGGTTTAACTTCAATTAAGTCAATGAAGCACAATATTAATAGTCATTTATTCAATTTGCTCTCAAAATACTAAGATTATTGTAATATTTTAGACTCTGTAGTAAATATAAAAAATTAATTGGTTTATTGTGAAATATCATAAATATATTCATCTTGATTATCAAGAAAATTTTATGTTGAAAGAAAAGGCATCAAGAAAAATAAATTAGTTATACAGAATTATTTTATTCAAAATACATGTTTATTTATCTATACATCTAAATTAAATAATTATCATTTCATATCAAGTAAAATAGTAACATATTTATAGGATAACTTGTAATAAAATAAAACTGATTTTTATATAGATTTTCAATTGTTTCTAAGAAAATAGTTGAACATTTAATTATAAGATAAAATAAAATAATGAGTTTCAATTTGACTTTTCAGAAATTAAATTTGTCTTACAAGTATTAAAACTTATTAATTTTTTTCTTTTTCTCATAAAAGTCCTTAATAAGTAAGAATATAAATTTATTTATTTATTTAAAGGTATCTAGATTTATATAAAAAAATATTTCTATATAAAAGTCATATCGGTTTAATTTTTTTTTACTATTTAACTTTCAAAAATATTATTTATTATGGTTGAAGTAAAAAATTAAAATAAACATGAATATATGCAACTATTTGTGAAGAAATATTTAGCTTAAAAGAATAGAATTCAAAATATTTTTGTACATTCTGTAAAACCACCTGTCTATTTATAGTAAAATAACTAAATATATTTTAATTAATACTATATATATATAATAAACAGTAATAAGTGAATCTTTAGATTATGTGTTAAAATTATGTATTACACAATAAGATACTGTGACCGAAACTTGATCGATTCAGTAAAAACCCTAGTCAACGTATTAATTATGTGTATATACATATAAATAGAATTTTAAAGTATTGATAATTAATTTTGATATAATTTGTGTGTGTTTCTCTATCTAATTCTTTTGAGAATTCAATAAATAAAAAATAAAATTTAACTATTATTTTTTTATTAAATTATCTAATTTTTGATAATTAAAAATAATATGAGATTAGTGTGTTATACTAAAAATAATATTTTATTAATATTTTATTGCATATTCTTCAAATTTTGTTAAGATAAATAAAAAATCTATAAATAAATCAGACTAATAAAAAATTAAAATCAGAAATTTTTATTTCTAACACCATCAATCAATAGTTCTATTAAATTCTAAGAGTTTTATGTATTTTAATAGCATAAAAAATACAAATCTTAGTATTCATCAACATTCTTGGACTTTGAGTTTTGACCTAGTTATAAATAGTAATATTGATTTCCAATTATTATTGTGTTAATTTTTTAAAGGACTTGAAATAAAAAAACACACAAACTTTAAAAAAATTAATTGTTACAAAAATTGTTGTGTAGTAACTTTAATCCAAGTTCACAATTGAAGACCAAATTTAGCATCTAATTTATATTTTTAATTAATTGAAAAATAAATACTTGTATTATTACTTAAAAGCATATAAGACTTTAGGGACTTGTTAAAGTAAAATATTATTTGAAAAAAAAATGAAATTAATTTATAAAATTATATTACAAATATTTGGCTAAGAAGTAAATAAATTAAAATGTTCTTTTCTTTTCTCCTTTTTTTTTTTTTTTTTTTTTTTTTTTTTTTAACATTAAGTTTTTCGAAACCATAATAGAATCATTGTATAAGTCAAAATAAAAACACATACTTTTTTTAGGTCTAGCGGATTTATAAATAGACACCTTAAACAAAATATGAGACCATACTTTATAGGTGGGTTTGCATGTTAAAGAGAGGTTAGTGCCAAAAACTGTCTCCTTGATAATGGGATAAATACTCCAAAATTAATGTATAGTAATTTTAGTAGTATATAAAAGGCATATCTCGCAATGTTTTTTTCAATTTCTGAAGAGATTGTTTTTCCTTAGATTAATATTGAATTTGTGATAAAGGAGCCAATTCAACATTAATAGATTACAATTAAAAATAAAATTAGAGAATTTAGTTATTTACCATTTGTAAAGTTGTGAGGACAGGACGAAGCATTAATACATATTTTGAAGGAAAAAAACTTTGTGCTAAATTGGATGGAGTTTTTCACCTTTTCCAAGAAATTAAAGAACTGTCCAACATTCATTAAAATATTAACTTTACTACCCCATTTATTGCAACATTGATGACCAGATATTGGTTTGGTACCTGGACAATGATCCATGCATGATACAGGAACTGAATGATTTCTAGTTGAAGTGCAATATTTCCATGATCAATGATCAAAAGCCTGGTCAAAAGGCCTGGGTAGTTTTTAATCAAGAACCTCTTCCAATGTACCCTATACGCGTGTACTTCTAAAAATGAGTCAATCCTTTCCATGTAATTTAAATGTCTGAGATTTTTTCCCAATCTTCACCACAGCAACTTGTAGCAATTAGTTCATAGTGCAAATGATGTAACAGAATCCCTTCAGTCATTCTTTATCCACCAGAAAACTAACAAGCTAAATGATTCTCACTTTTGGAGTACAAAATAAAAACTGGCACAAATTCACGGTCAATGGCTCTCTTGGTTCTCACAAACAACTTTGGATCCTTGTTTGTAGATATCCATATGTCAGCACAGGAAGCGTTGCTATTTGATACAGACTGGACTACCCAAATGGCCAGTTGTTACAGCATAGTTCCTTGGTTCTTTTAGGCAGCCTAATCTCTAGCCAGGCAGAGAGAAGTATATAGATGTAAAGCCCATGCACAACTTGTATACAGCATCTGAATGGCAGTGATAAGGGGTTTACATTTCCAAGGAAAGCTCAAGGACAAAGGCATTTGTGGAAGTCAACATGGGCCCACTCACTAGAGACATAGAGGCATCAGGAGCTACAAGTATCGTTGAGGCACTCCACCTGCTTGAAGACTTGTTTCAGAAAGTCATGGGAAAAAAACCCGACAGTGGATACAATGTTCTTTCTGGTAAATGGGAAACAAACAGAAACTCTACATAGGTTTGACTGCCTCGTACTGCGCCACAGCCTCTCGCATGGCCTCTATTTGGCCAATAACACACTCTAATTTCTTCACACTGATCTCTGAGTTTATCCTGGCAGGATAATCAGAGTTTTCATACGGTCGATACTCACACATGCTCTTGATCTCGTCACGCAGAGTGGTTTGGATTTCCTGGTCACACCAAAGTCCATGATTCGTTTAGTGCAAAAATGAAACGTGGTTGAAACTAGAGCCCTAACAGGAACGAAGAAGAAGGGACGCATCAGAAATCATGCCATAGGATGTAAATAGTTTACTACATTTAGACTTAAATGCACATCATATTTTATAGTGAACAAACTATCCCCCTAGTACAGTTTTTAAATGTATTCACTTGAGGGACCTAAAATGAGGACGGATACTTTCACGGCTTGCATAAATTCTTGACACTGAACGTTGACAACTTCTTGTCGAGGTCCGCCTGTTTTGGCCAACTCTTCCATTACTCTGCCAGCAAGCTCCACAGTATGAACAATTTTCTGCAGCAAAGAAGCAGGAGTCTGTACAGTTAACAAATTGAAAAACGGGAGGAATTCTTGCACGTGCATGATGTAACAAGAACACTAAAAATGACAAAATAATTCCACAGCATCTAATTGATGAGTTATACCTTCTCCACATGATGGAGGCGTTGCAAGGACGTTGAAGGATCTCCTGGTCTGGGAGTAAGTGCGGACATTTTTTCTTGCCTCACACTATCATTGAACGTGATGACACATTAAGTCAGAGAATAGCCACAACCTGAAAATAACACCATCTAATCCAAGAACACACACACAGATATATACATATCTCTATGTATTAAATGTGGTGAATTGCAAATACGATCAAGAAATGTGAAGATAGCTTCAACAATCAAATATGCATTCTTGATCCGTTAAACTGTGGATACAAGCACGGCAATAACTGCTTAGACCTGATTCTGATCCTAGGCTGTTAGCAAAAATCCAAAACTCTCACGCACATTGTCTCCAAACTTTTAGAAACCTTCACGACCTTTTCCACTAAGATGATGTTGGTGATACGAGTTGGCTCTCTATAAAGTGGACATGTGTGTAGCTTTCCGCAAGAGATCACAGAGCACCTGAAGTACGCCAATAGCAAAAAATTAATATCGAAATTCGCGCTAGTCATCATAGAACTCTCTCGCGCGGTCTATATATATATATATATAAGTGTGTGTGTGTGTGTACGCGCGACGTCTGAACAGGCAGATCCCTTTACGTTGGTTCATCACCATCAAAGACAGTAATGAATCGAGATCCACAATGAAGGATTATCACACTCCATTGCTAGAGCTGAAAAAATTCCCGTGCTAAAGCAAAATCTACTCGTTCAACAACATCACATAGTAAACATCAATTCAATAAACCCTAATTTCAAAATACCATCTGGACCCAACAAAATCGAAACAAACCTCGATTGTGCTAAACCCTCGCAAAACCCAACTCGAGATTTTTAGTCGCCACAATCTCGCAGCTCCCAATTGAACCCAAAAATCAGTCAAGTGTCATTCCAATGCAATCGTGTGAAACAAAACCACCTTTTACTCCACACACCTCCCCACTCAACAAAACGCACACACACACAAATTCATGTATATATATATATATATATATATAATACAAAACTTTGATAACATTCACTAAAAAAACACCGAAATACAATATATAGATAAATAGACAACAAAAAGAGAGCTCAATGAGCACAAAACACTCACCGCACATGCAATGACAATTGCTACGGTTCGAGCAGAAACCACAGGAAGATTGAAACCGGATTACATTGTGTAAGCGAGGGGTTCAAGAAGAAGAACGCAGTGCGTACCATTCAATCGGCTAGAGCACGAAATGACATTCCTCGATTCAATGTGAAGTACGCGATTTCAATTCTAATGAGCAAAATTGTATTGACCAGCTATGCAATAAATAAATGAAAAGCCACCATCATAGGCGTGAAGCCTCGATCCGCGCTTTGTCTCCACCTGCGACGAAGTGTAATACGTAATATCTAACTGATTAGAATTCGAACCTTATTAGAGACTCTCAGTTCAGAGCTTCCCTAACACTCTCGTGGATGACCTAGTCTTGGATACCGTCCATGATCCGAGGGATGCCCCACACCATTGTACTCTCACTGATCGTATCAACCGATTCAATCGTGGGGTGTTTTTATTCTTATTATTTTCAATAGTGGGACTCGGTCAAAAAACCACATATACTCTCGACATTTTCTTGATTTTCAATTGATATACCATAATTAGGATATTAATAGACAAATATCTTTCAATTGACATTTCATATTTCAATGTCGCTCTCTGTACCGAAGGTGGACGACTCCATCTTGGATGCACTCGACTCTGCAACTCAGGCGCCAGCGTGGCCTGTTAGAGTTGCTGGTATGGAGCAGAAACCGACCGTCACTATATCAATCTCATTGTGAGTACAGAAATGCAATTATGGGCGATTCACAACTATGAATTGCTTCTCTCAAGTACTAAGTTATTCTAAAAGATAAAAAATGAAAATTTTCTCACAGATGTACACATACCGTCATAATGGAGTTTTCCCATTCATCAAAAAGGGTCTTTCACCAAAGAATCTCAGATTCTCAGTTTAGGGATAGCAAGTTCATAATACAATCTTTTTTAGCCTTTTCATTCCTTGTCATTCCTAGGTTTTTATTATTGACATGAGATAATTTAAAGTACAAATTGGACTTATCCTTTTCTGTTTTTTGGTGGCATTTCTACGGCATCGCCCATCGACAACCTTACCCGTCGCCCTCCTACCCGCACCAGCAAACCTCAATCCAGTGCTTAGCTAACAGAACCTTCTGTTATCTTTTGGCAGTTTCAGTATAGTTGAGTTCAGTTTTTGAGGGTCATGTGCACAAACTTTCTTACATAAGAATCTCATCTTCTGAAGTGATATGTATATTACTACAAGTACATTATGGATTTTGTACCCTCTTGAATTTTATGTATACATTTATTTTTTCTTCTTCACTGTTTTTATTTGATTCCTGATTTGTTTTTCTTAGTATATCTATTTTCTTCTTATTGAGTAACAGAATTTGTTTAGTAACGGAAGTTCAATACCATTGATAAATGTGAAGGGTTTTAGCTGATTAATTGTGTTGGAGTTTATTCTCAGATCTGTCATTACAACCAAATCCTACTTTTCAACCAAGCTCATTGAACATTACAAATAGAATCAATAATATCATTTAGTTAGGATTGGGCTGTCACATGTTAATTAAAATTAATTCCTTCCTTAAAACTATAAAGTTGACCACTTGTTCACTTGTCTTGTTTAGTTCCAAATAATGAAGTATTATCATTTTATCTTTTCATGGTAATAAAGCAGTAGAGTCTCAATCCTACAACTTAACATCCTAATATAGATCTTATAAAGTTCAACTTTCAGAAGAGTAACAAGTTAATAGGAGCCAGTAACTATTCCATTTGATCTTTCATAGTTGAACAAATCTTGCAAGCTAATAGTATCTGAGACATGTGCATGCCTACTACATCATCAACTAATTCATAAGGTAGTGATTTTGTTAGGTCTAGCTCCATATTTAGTAAAGATTCTTCCAATTTCATTGTTCGGGCCTTTATTACCACAATTGCTACAAACATTGCCATTGATGCACAAACAATATAGCTTAAGAAAAGAAACAAAGCAATTATGAGCATCATTGCCATTATCTCTAAGAAGATAAGCTTTATTGTAAAATAATTCAAGGCTGATCTATTAGTTTTATGTCTAATGTTTGAACAATGTTTTGCTGTAGAAGAAGTAACATAATTTGGTGTAGATGTTGAAGCAACTTCAATTATCTCTATATCTTCACTTTCTACCAATCTTGTTATTCCTTGTCAAGATAAATTGAATGGATGCATTGCAAGCATTCACTCTTTCATTTGTTCTTACATTTGTGCTATTGCATTTTTCATTTCAACAACCTTTGCTATGATAATACAATAGGAAAAAAATGTCTAATATTACTCAAGACTAGAAGAGAAGATCAAAAATAAAGAAAATTCTAAAAATAATATTAATTTAAAAGTAGATAATCTATAACTTCTAATATGCTTATATCTTATTAAGAGAATGAAATAATCTATTCTTAATAATAATAATAATAATAATAAAAAATAAAGCTATAATATTATAAGTATATTCTTGTCAATTTTTCAAGGGCAAGAATTAAAAGAATATAAATAACCAACTAAGCCATTTTTTAAAGAAAGATGATCAAAAATGAAATAAGTAAATTCAAGTAGAAATTAGAATGACTATTGCTAAAGACTAGGAAATTAGAGACTCTAGAAACTAGACTAAAAAGAAGAATAGAGTTGTCAAGAGTGTGGAAGGCCTTACTTATACCTCTATATATACTATCTAACTAAGAGCTATATGACAATATTCTATAAGACTTCCAATACATATCTTACTTGCAAGACATATGTCTAATTTGTAAAGCAAGTTTTCTAGATGTACGCTACATGTCCAACTTGTACCACAAGTAGCCAATATGTACAACGTGTGGCCAATTTGTTGGCCTATTTTTCAACATATAAACATGTTTAAATACAAATCCACATCTAAGAAGCTTCTAAAAACCTTTTTTATAAGTTATTATCAAATTTACCTATTTTTACTTATTTTTACCTATTTATATTATTTAGGTAATTATTAAAATAAATATATATGTCCATGATAATGAACTTGTAATATGTGAAAAATTAACAAACAAAAAAATAAAAAATAAAAAATATTTTTAACAACATCAAATAAAAATGAAGTAGTCATGGCATGAGAGTGCCAAGTTAAACAAAATATTTTAGCATTCTATGAATTTAATATTTTTATAATTGAGCTTAGTCTAAAAACATAGTCAGAATGTCAAGATATGCAAAAGCCAAATAGTGTGATACACACTAATTACGGATATTGGTGTAGCAAGCTAGAAAATGATCAAAGAAACATCTGCCAGCAATAGTTGGAGAGGAGTAAGGAACGGAGATGAGAGGTGAGCAAAGAGCACCAGCGCCATCGTCCATGGACATTACTGCAATACCATTACCGCCAGCAAACCATCCATGAAAGTCTATAAGAAACAGCAACGCTGTCAGTATGCAACGTTGCTGTTTCTTTTAGACTAGGTTGGGATCGGCATCTGGTGGACTGGTAGGGAGTTGGGTGGATTCACGAGTCTCCTGCGTGATGTCTACGACTTCGGCGTGTTGAGCAGTTCAGAACTTGGCAGCTGAGATGTGGAGTGCACCTTGAGGACCAAATGGATAACCCGTTTTTGTTCGTGGCAGTTGCTCGATGTGCCGCATCAGGGGTCCCGATCGAGTTGTAGGCTTTGTGGATGATGGGTCTAACACACCTTCACCTGCACAGCTACGAAGTCGATGTTTGGGCTGAGTCGTTTCTGAGGATTTTAGACGCAGGCGCAGGCTCATCGAGCAGGCTAGGCGATGATGCAGCGATTGGAAATTCGGCGTGTCACTACGTAAGGCAATCAGTGGATCATAAGAAATAACGCTGTAATGGACCTGCATTGTCAGCTTGCAGAATAGGTGTGATAGTCGACGGTGTGAGAAGTTTCGTTCTTTTGAGAACACAGAATGTGCGGGATTGCAGAGGTGGAATAGACGAGTGCAGGATAAGAAACGAAAATTGTTAAACACTTGGCAGGAGGTGCATGCATCAGAATTGTGTTGGCATTGGGTACTTGGGTGAGTTCGTCATGGATTTTCGAAGCGTTGCGGCGTTGCTATTGGCACTGTGTATATCCATACCCGCGAATTTCTGTGGAGAAGCAAGATTGCAGAGAAGGATCGACGTGCCGGCATATTTTGTGTTTGGAGATTCCTTCGCAGACGTGGGGACCAACAATTTCCTACCTTATGCTGCGTCGCGAGCCAACTTTCCACCATACGGCGAAACGTTCTTTCATAAGGCAACGGGACGCTTCACAAACGGCAGAAACATTGTCGACTTATTTGGTGAGGTCGATGGAATCTCGAATTTTGAGTCATGAAATACTACAATCCTTATTCATTGTGCTGGAGTGTCACATGAAATCGCCAAATAGAGGCCATGAGAAAACTGATATAATTCATGTTACATGGTTTTGTGGTGGGCAGCGCAAACAGTGGGACTCCCAATCGCGCCACCATTTTTACAACCAAATTCTTCATTCATTGCTGGAGTTAACTTCGCCTCAGCCGGAAGTAGCCTCCTCAACAGCACCATCTTCAACAATGTAAGGAATTCAGTCCTTCCTCTTCTTCTGCTGATCTTTAACAGCAATTAGGTTTTTTTATTACCCATATGCGTGTGACTCTACAGAAGGAACTGGTCGGCTCAACTGGCTCGCCTCAGGCAGTACCATTGAGTGAGCAAGTGGACCAGTACAAAACAGTGCGGATCTTGTTGCGGAACGTGCTCAGCCCCTTGGAAGCACAGAAGCTGATATCGAAGTCAGTATTTCTCATACTCAGCGGCTCGGATGATCTCCTAGAGTACCTCTCCAACTTCGAGATCCAAAACCGAATGAACGCTACCCAGTTCATGTCTAACGTTGTGGAAGCTTACCGAACTACACTCACTGTAAGTGCATAGATATGCTTTTGTCCAATTCGATCAATGCAAGCTGCTTTGATAGTATGGCTTATGAGTGACCTTAATGTATGGAAACTGGCATCGCCTTGCAGGATCTGTACAAAGGTGGCGCGAGGAAGGCACTCCTGGTTGGCCTTACGCCCCTCGGATGCTCGCCTTCGGCAAGAGCCACAAATCCTAGGAACCCTGGGGAGTGCTTGGTTGAAGGAAACGAACTAGCGATGCGTTTCAACAACGATGTAAGGCAGTTAGTGGATGAGCTGCATGTCACGTTTCCAGACTACAACGTCATATTTGGCGAGAGTTATAATCTCATCGAGGCAATGATAAATGACAAGAAGTCATCTGGTAACCTCCAAGCTTAAAACCTCCAAATAACTTGAATAAAATGAACAGAGGGAAAATTCATTGATGCCTTAATATTCCTAAGATTCTTGTAGACACACTCGTCAACTATTGCTATGTTGGAACTTATGGAATTTCCGCTGCCGTTAAATGTGCAGGATTAGACAATGTCAATGCAGCTTGCTGCGGAGCCGGGTTTTTGAATGCACAAGTTCGCTGTGGACTGCCAATGCCATCCGGCATGCTCGATGTTGGCCAACCGCTGTGCAAGCACCCATCGAAGTTCTTGTTCTGGGATGTTGTTCATCCCACGGAGCAAGTAGTGAGGCTTCTGTTCAAGAGCTTCTGGGCCGGCAATTCAAGTACATCATATCCCATGAACATAAAAGCCTTGGTTTCTTTGTAGCAGGAACTTGGAGAAGTCTACACGATGTGTGGAGATTGGAAAGATTACGCTCAGACACATTGTGAGAATAATCCGAATATACATTAATCTAACCAGCAAAACACAGAGACACTGAGATTAATCGTCAATGGAAACATCATTATGTTGAGATTCAATCCTGATTGTGACATTTGATGTGCTTGGAGGGCACTCGAGCATTTAAGGGCTTAAAATGACAGGAGTGGGTTAATTGATTGGTGTCAGCTTCAAAACCAAGATAGTTGATAGTTACAAGACGAGCAAAATTATTTGTTTGATGCTCAATTATGTACCGTAACCAAGCAACATCAATACCTAAGGATACATGTATACATTGCCTTCATAGCCAAGATGTAAATTTTTGGTATTATGTACTCATATGTAACTGTGTGAGTGTGTTAAAGTGAAGTTAAGATGCTTTTCAAAGGACGTTCATTCTTAACGGCTATTTTCTCATTCAAAACCTGTTTCTGAATCCGGAACATTGAGAAAACGGTGAATAGAGGAAGAAGTAATTTTTTATTTTTTGAAACAAACAGAGAAAAGATTCATTGCCATGAGGATAGTACCCCTTGTGAGTTTGAATTTATCCTAAAAGAAAAGAGACCCCGGCAACACCGCCTCTTCTCAAAGTATTGTACAAACTTGCTAATGAGTTCTGGTCGGGCTTTCTTAGTATTACATGCAATTGACCACTCTACGTTGCTTTGTTAACAATTCTAATCTACACACATTGGAATAACGTGCTTAGGTGTAGTTTAACATTATTAAATACTATGTTGTTTCATTCCTTCTATAGCATCAAAAAGATAATTATTCTAATTTGAGTCCTCAATAGACTAAATTGGGTGAATTACTAAAAAATTCTTTCTTAGAAAAGTCCCTACTATCATGTAAGACGGTGCTATAGACCACAAGTGCTTAAGATGTGGATCAAAATATTAAGTGTGTGGATGCCCCATTGCCATGTATGTTGGACAAAGGTGCATTTCCAAAATATTTGTAGTATCAATTCATCAACTCTCTATGGATATACAAGGCACTGGAGGGTAATTATGTAGTTGATGTAATATTGCCATTTGTTGACTATAAATTTTTAATAACAAATCAAATACAAAAAATTAGATTCTTTGTAAATTTGGGCTTTCACCTACACTATTTTCCATTAAAGTTGATAGTCTTTAGGAAGCACTCTTGGCTGCTTTTTCACCATAGGATTGAAAATAATGTGTTTTTTTCTCAAATTTTTTTGACTTAGCTTTGTAAAATAAGCCATGAAGAATATCAAACTTTTCAATGATAATGACTAGAATTTATTTGGATCCCAAATAACGGTGTCAATCTACCCATAAAAAAACTTAACAAGCTTCTATTTTAGACCTTGCAACACTTATAATATCCACATACAATGGTATAAATCTTATATAGTTGAAAAGAATGGAGTTTGGAAAAGCTTGCTTTCATTAGAAGAAAGGATGAGAACTACCATAGTGGTTCATATATTACTTCTTCAATTAATTAAGATTACACCAGTTACAAATCTTTTATTAGACTTCTCTTAAAAGAGTCTATATTGGACAACACCTTTGATTCTTTATTAGCTTAGAATTGAGATAGAATGAAGTATTCTAAACTAAAAGTCTATCTTCTTCATAAATAAGGTTAGAAATTGTTAAATTAGAATCTTAGTAGTACATGAAACTTAGACATTCTAGATTCACAAGCTTTAAAAATCTATTGTGCAATGAAAGATACCAATGCATTCATGGGATTGATTATTTTGATGCCACCAATTTTTTTGAAGCGAGCAATATTACAACCATGAAATCTTCATGCATTTTCATTGTAAGATTCCATTTCATAAGTAGCTCTGTATTTGCAATCAAGCTTTCAACATTCATACCTTTGTGCCTCTTCATATTGCAATAAAAAAAAATATGCATAAGAATAAAATCCTTTCATGTAATTACAACTTTTTTTCATCAAATTTACCTTGGTTGTGCTCTAATATTACATTTTTTTTTTAATATATTTTTTTTATTGATTTAGACTTATAGAAACTTTTTCATCTCTAATGAGGACATATTTAGTGTAAATGGGATGTCTAATAGCTTATTGACGTACTTATCATCTATCCATGTGATCCCTAGTGAACTTGTTTAAGTCAGTTTCAAGTCATCAACTTGCTAGTATTTACATGATTTGCTTCAAATTAACACTAAGCTAGAATTTAAATAAAATATATTTAATACTTAAAAATAGCTCTTGTATCAAGCTCTTCTCTTTTTTCAATGTAAAGGTGATATCATCCTCAAATTTTATAACTTATTTTTTTTATTAATTAAAATAATTATTCTTTAGATTAAATATAAATCTACTTTTTTTATTATGTAATTTAATAAATTTAAAATAATAATAAAAAAAGATATGGTACCAGAAGACATCTTTGTCATATCCTCCAAGCAATATCAAAAGAAAGAGCTTATGAGCCATTGACTTTGATACTTATAGTTGTATTATAGAATAATATTTTAGTCATAGCTACAAATTTGCAAAGACATCCAAATATGAATATTATCTAAAAAAAAAGGATTAGTTCCTAATATCATAATTTTTAGAAAAGTTCAACTTTAGGAGGATGAGCGATTACTTTAAGTATTCCACTTACTTTATTATTTTATGAATAAAGAATATATTTTCCAAAATAAAGTGTATTAATGTAAAAGCCAACTAGTCAAAAGATATGATATCTATTAAAACTAATTGCAAGCAAATTTGCAAAGCTTATGCATAAAATTTATGAGCTATATTAAAAAGAGTGATAGGTTGCTTATTCATCAATTGTGTCCATGCATTACTTTTAAATAATAAAGAAATATTGCAATATGTAATATCTAATAGAAATTGGTTTATTTTTATTGCTTTTATAATCATTACTAAGTAATCCATTTTAATAATATCTCAATTTTTTTTAAAGAATTTAGTAATTATTCCATTACATCTTAGACATTTTTCTAAGACTATCTCAATTAGAGCAAAATCCAACTCACTCATTGCAATAAGAGCCCTTAGCACAACTTGTATCTTTGATGTTAATCAATTGATGATGTTGCTTTGGATGTATTTTATAGCTTGAAAAAACTCTATCAATAGATATAAATATTATATAATAATTAAATCAAATTAATTTAGCTTAAAAAATTCTATCAATAGATATAATTAGCTAGAGAAAATTCTATCAATAGAGTTTCTTTGACATGTAGTTTAGTACAAAATTACAAATACATCTTTTCAAGCCCACCTTAATCAATATAAATGATACTATGCTCATCATCTAATGTTGTGATTTCCGCTGCCCTTGCTTGTTCTTTGGCCACTTAAAAAAAGTTCTTAAAATTAAAATTATTCACTTGCTTTTACTTAATTTAATTACAAATTCTTTGTCTTTTATTTGTTTGTTGTTTGAATCCTTGCATTTTATCTATTGCTTTACCTAGCTAGCCCTAGAATGTTATATAAAGTGGATTCAAATAAAAATCTACCATAGTTTTTAATGATTTCTTTTGCCCTTGATCTTCTTTACTTCAAAATTATTATGTTTTATATACATGGTAGCCACAGTAAAACTTAACCACATTTTGTAGTTTATGTAAGAAATTGAATTGAGGGTGGATAGACCAAATTTTTACCACTCAAATATGCACCACCACATCTTTGATATATACCGCAATTATCTAAAAGAAAGAGGTGCATCTTACCTAAGCTTTGAGCTAAATCAAGCAACTCATTGGAAAGAAGTTATCAAAGTTATAATCTCTCTAAATGAAGTAGTCCACCAATAGATGTATTCCTACATCTTCTTATTTGAAGACATATACCTCATTTAGCCAAGCCATAATTTATACTCTATCTTTGTGGTAGTTATTTCAGAAATATTTTATTCTACTAACAGCCGAATACCTATCAACAATATATTATGCCTTGGTGAATATGGCAAAGACTCATTTTTCATCTTTTTGTGTTTATTTCCTACATTCTAAGGACTTTTCTTCTCTTTTTTCAACAAAATTCTAATCTCTACAAAAGTATCAATTATAATTACAAAAAAAAAAAAAAAAAAAAAAAAATTGAATTCTTTCTACAACATATAATATTTGGTAAGGAATATAGATGCATAGAGATTTAATACAACTATATAAATTCTATGGACTCTCCCTAACTTCACTCATATAACACAATTGTACTAAAAGTATCTCAAATTTAGAACCAAGTGCTAAATAAGAGGTGCGACCCACATGCACATCTTTCTCTTATCCACGCCTATATTGTGGCTATTATAACCATAACCTTTGGTGGCTTCCATCTCAACAAAGCTAGTATGTAGCCATGTCAAATTCTTCAATGTAAGTAATTTAGTTCCTCTCAGTTAATGTTCTTTATAACACATAATATTGATATTAGAAAACAATGGCTGGTACGAGTTTTTGATTAAGTCAATATTTTTATGATTGTTAAAATCTTCTAGGTTATAGGTAATAATTGTGATATACATTATAGGTGTGGAATTGAAGAAGGGGGGGGGGGGGAGGGAAGAAGGGAGGAGGAGAGAGAGGATGGAGAAAGAGAAAAAGAGAGAGATGCTTGTGCAAAGTGCATCACCTTAAACCATATTATAGTTTGTCATAGTGCCTATATAAAGGGCTACATTAGTATAAGGTGAAGCTTATTGTATGGTTGCTCTCCCCTTCTCCTTCATCATGACTTCTTGTTGCACCAAGAACAATGCCCATGGATTTTTCTACTATCATCCTTGAATCCTCAATTCCTTCTAACTTACTTACTAATGTAGGATGAGTAGTCATTTGTGAGAGAGGTTTAAAAACTCACTATAGATCTTTTTAGTATGTGGTGTAACTGTCACGGACACAAAATACAGACTTGAAATCTAACAAGAAATTCAAGAAGAAGTGGTAGAACTAGATTAAACATATGAGTACAAGAACAACACCAGAAAGGTGAGCTAGAACTCCAAGAGATGTGTTGTCGAGACTGAAGAACTCTTCAGCCTCGATCCCTATATATACTCCTACTTAGGAAGCTTCTCGAGCTACTTCTATTAACTAGGAAGCTTCTAGAAGGTTCCAGAGGCTTCCTTTCTAGAAGGTTCTAGAAACTTCTCGAGCTACTTTTATTAACTAGGAAGCTTCTAGAAAGTTCTAGGAGATTCCTTTCTAGAAGCTTCTAGAAACTTCTCGAGCTACTTTTATTAACTAGGAAGCTTCTAGAAAGTTCTAGGAGATTCCTTTCTAGAAGCTTCTAGAAACTTCTCTTCTAGAAGGTTCCAG